TAACGAAATAAAGAGATTAATCCTTTTTTAAAATTATTTTTATGTGCACCCCATAATTTTTTTAAAAAAACTAAACTTTTAAAAAAAAACTAAACTTTTAAATATCTCTAAATAAAAAAAAGCAGTAGGTCTCTGATTAAAATATAATAAAACTATCATTTAAAAAAAGGAGTGTAGGAACAATTTTAACTAAATTATGGAAAAAAGAATATGATGTTAATTATTAAAGATAATATAAATATAACGAAAAATATATTTAAGAAATTTGGCCAATTGCCTAGGCCAAATTAAACCACAGAATTGATTCTAGAGACTACGCTGCCACGGTTTTGTTTGAATAGTAGTCCAAACAGAGAAAATTGGACCATTTACTTTCATAAGAATAATTGTATTATTCGATTTTTTAAAAAAAAACTAAATCATCTTTAGATATTTTATTTAATAAAATAATATAAAAAAATGATCCCTACATATGACTACTAATCAATCACATAGTGAATTTTCTGACCTATTTTACCGCGTAAATTATTTTGGCGCGAAAATTTATATTGTATCTTATAAGTAACATTCCTTTTATATAAAAATCAATTTTTTAAATAGAAATTCTTATATTTATTTGAAGTACGAGTATTTAATGTCAGCTGTTCCCTATATTTCAAAATTGACATTTTTTGTAATTTTAATTTATCAATATTAAACTTTGCTATTATTTTTCAAAAAATATGAACCAGATAACTAAAATATTCCTATATTATTTTCCGTTTTTATAATTAAAAAAAAAATTAATTAAAAATTTTTTAATCGATAATATATGTACGTTACATATATGACACTAAAATGATTTCTTCATCTGATTATTCTTCTGATGATAGCTTTTTAGAAGATGACCACGATAATGAGGATGATAATTCAACATTTTCAGATAATTTTACTATTATAAATAGACGATAAGATATATTAAGGAAGGAAAAAAATTTAAATATCCCTAAAAATTATCTAAAATTCAATGGAAAGTCCACTTTATCCAGCGAGATACTGGCTTTACATACTCCATATCAATGTTCATCATATTTTTTGAATGATAACTTCCTAGATTTAGTAGTTCTCGAATCAACCAAATATGCAGCAATAAAAAATATTAACAAACCTATAAATATTTCTATAATGGAGTTAAGGAAATTCATTGGGAATAATAAACTCATGTCGATTGTCCAATTACCGTCCATAAGAGACTATTGGAAAGATGTAATTGGCAATGATCTTATAAAAAAGACTATGACTACCACATTTGAAAGCATTCGATCCATTCCTTATTTTATGACAATATTAATTCTATAGCAAAAGGTCAACCAGGCCATAATAGGCTTATAAAAGTAGTCTCAATTGTTAAACACTTTCAAGATAGGTTTCGTACAATTCCTAAAGAGGAATGCTTATCAATCGATGAGCAAATTTGCTCAACCGAGGCTCGTATACATTTAAAACAATATATGCCAAGGAAACCTCACAAATGGGGCTTTAAATTCTTCATTCTATGCTGTGTATCAGGATTTGCCTATGATTTTGAACTAAATTATGGGCAGAAAATGATTCTGAAAAAAGACCAACAACAGAACCAGATTTAGGAGTGTCCAGCAATATTGTTGTACGTCTAAGCCGAACAATACCTATAAATCAAAATTTTAAGCTATATTTTGATAATTACTACACCTCAATAAACCTTTTGATATATTTGGCAAAAAGAGACATAATAAATCTATTATATATTTAATTTTTCAAGTATATTTATAGGTATATACAGTCTTGGTACTGTAAGGAGGAAATCCCAAATTGTAAGCTTCCTACAGAGATCGAAATGAAAAAAGAGATCAGAGAGTCATCCTTTGAATACATGGCAAATATTGAAGGGGTAGATATAACATCCTTAGTATGGAAAAATAAAAAAACGGTAACCTTTTTGTCAACATTATACGGGAAATTACCCCAGAGACATATTGAACGATATGACCGCAAAACCAAGAAAATACTAAATATAGCGTGTCCCATTCGCCAAGAAGTAGCCTCAACAATGTGTCAAGTTGAAGCTAAAATAGAATTGAAACGCGGACGTCCTTCTTCTATGGTCGAAAATTTAATAGAAGGTGATTATTTATTTATTATTTTATAATATTTTCATTTAGATAAAAAAAGAAGGGGGCCTATGTCTTTCGTACCGTCCACAGATATTCGCACGGATCAAATTGGACATTTCTCAGAGTGGATGAATAATCGTCAAAGGTGCAAAAATTCACTATGTAAAGGTGTTACACATGTGAAATGCTCGAAATGTCAATGTGCACTATGTTTCCATGCAAATAAAAATTGTTTTATTTTATTTCATACCAATATATAAAATACAATAAATTGCTTGTTAAATATAATTTGTGACTTATATGTAACATACATTATTATGGTCAAAATAAAAAAAATATAAAAATAAAAAAATTTTTTTTTGATCAATTATCGATTAATATGTCAAAGGGAATACCCGAGATTTTTTTCTAACTTATTGCAAACATCATGTGATAAAGGGTTAAATAAAGCATAATTCATAATAGTCCGTAAGTTATATTTGCAATAAAAATAACTATTTTTAAAATAAATTTAAAAAGCCATATTTTCAGGCATAATACTTTTAAAGACATGCGTTTTTTTTGGTATAGTCACAATTGTATCTACATAGAATAAACGCTCACACGTCGCAACCCTGAGTAGAATGGTGAGTTATAATTATTTGTTTAGAATTAATAGTTCTATATTTATACAATTACTCTAATATTTTATGTTGGGTTTATATCTGTTATCCTCTTTATAAATATGATATGAACTATTATCAAACATTTAGAAAATTAAATAAACTAATTTAAACCTTTTCAATTATAATGTAAAATAATAAAAATAATATATCAGGATTTAGGCCTATTTTTCTGTCTCTAAACCAAATTTTAAAAATTTAGCCTACCTATTGGAAAAATTTGAATCGTAAATAATTTTTGGTTAGATTTTTTTTAAAATTCATTTTTAATCGTAGAATTCAATAAAAGAAAAGAGGAATGGGAATTCCAAACGCCTAGAGATTCTAGTCAAAATTGATCCCGATTTTATCCAAAGAAATATTAAGTTCTTTTAAAAAAATTATTATTTTTTCGTTCCATAAATCTTTATTCTAAATTGTATTCCCAGCAACCGTGGTGAATCAGGTTTGGCTGGGTCAATATAAGTAAGTCAGAGTCGTAGAGTCAAATCGAATTTATTATATGGGTAGGTTATATATGCCTTATTTTTATTATATATTTGGTAAATTTGCGCACAAATTGTTATTTTCATGGAAGGCAGGAAAAAAAAAAGTAAAAAATTTATTTTATTTTAATTATCTTTTATTTTTATTACTATTACTACTGAAGATATTGAAAATTTTACAACTATATATATTATTATTTTAATACTATTTACATATATATAATTTAAGGTTAATTTTTAACAAATTCGTCCTTAAATTAAATTAACATTTAACATTTACGAAAATTAGGAAAAAAGGTCATTAAATAAATTTAAAAGAAAGAATTTTTACAAAAAGGTCATTTTTTACAAAGTAAAAAATATGCAAAATTTATATATTAACACAAATAATCAAAAAACTAACAAGCTAATTCATATCTTGAACTCATGAGTCAGCTTAAGAGTCTGACTCGCAAGTCTGGTCAGTCGGCTTTGGCCCAAGTTAGAATTATTCATACTTAATTTTAATTGCGGCTGTCGACGACTTGGCTCAAAAAAAAACATTATTTTCTGGTTTTTTTCTTTTATATAAGTACGAGTCTAAATAATGATGAGTTTTTCAGTTCTACAAAAATTGGGTGTTTTTAAATAATAATTGGAAATTATGATAAATCAGTTTACATCATATTTTATTAGAAAAAGTTAAAAAAAACATCAGTTTATCAAAGTTATTGTAAAAAATTACGAAAGGGGTCAGGGGTACGACTCATAAGTCGGGTTAATTGTTCAACTAAAATGACTCGAGCCAGAGCTATTTCAACTTACCTTAGTCCTGATTAGGATCACAAGTAAATTGGATAATAAATATATATTGTGCCATTGTAAATTATGAAAATAGAAAGATATTAAATAAATAAATTGACCTTAATTAAAGTTTCTCTCTACAAATATAATTATCTTCTTTTCGCGATCCTAAGCATCATAATTTGCAACACCATAAGATATTTTTTTTAGTCACCTGTTACCACTTTTAACTATTAGCTCTCATCCACATCTCATAACTCAACAATCTTAGAGCCATTTTTTACAAAAGGATGCCATTCTTATTCTAGCGCACTAGATTGATTCTATAATTTGTTTAGAAAATGATTGCTTTATTCTACCCCATACCGTAGGAAGCCTTTAGAACTTTTATAGGCGGTCCGAAAATTTTTGGAACTTTCATGCTACATTGAGGCAAGATTTTTTGAATCTTTATTATTAAAAACAAAAATTACTTAAAATTGTGCATTTTAATAAATGTGGTCATTTTACTTTTTCGACCAGTTGACGCTTTATAAATTTTAAAATTAAAAGAAATAACCTTCAAAAAAATAATAAATTGACAGTTTTTTATACCGAAAGCTATATAATCTTTAAAAAATAGTTAATAGTTAAATATTTATTAATTTTTATATCATTTAAAATAATAATTAATTCTTGAATTAGTTAGTTTCAAAGGATACAACATTTTTTATCTTGCCAAAGTTTAGAAGCTTTTGATTTTTTTAAATTTAATTTAAGATTCATTATTAATTCTCTCATTTGGTCTCCAGTATTATGAGATAAAGACGGCAATGATAACATATATTTCATGAGTGAGGGAGTGTTAGATATGGGCCCGATGCATGGTTACTTAAATTTAGTAAACATTCATTCATTAAACATATTTAAAATTTTTGGAAATGGTGAGATTTTCTCTAGTAAAATTACGATTGAATCCATTTTTTATTGAGATGATACCTGAAAATATAAGGAAAAGTTTATTTGATAAAGATCTTGTTCAATATTTAGAAGAGAAAGAAAATATACAACTACATAAGTCTGAACTTAAATTACATGGAATTGCACTAAACAATGTTAAGGAGAGCACTAATATTAATTTTAGTTTGCCTGAAATATATAAAAATATTGATGAGCATATATTTCATATTGCTAAACAACAATCAGATTCATATAAAAATTTGTGTAATGAATTTTTAACATCAGATATACCCTCTTTACCAAATAAATGGCTCCTAAAATGTATTTTATTAGGATTATATGTGTTTTAAGATTTTTGTTAGCAGGATGGACAAAATATATAAACAATAATGTTGAAACTGTCATGGCACCTAATGATAAAGCATTAATATTTGATGTTGAGGTGTGCTTAAAAGATCCTGGAAATCTCCCCACTATGGCCATTGCATTATCACCCAATGCATGGTAATAAAACTTAATAGTAAAAAAATAAATATTATTAGGTATTCTTGGTGTAGTCCTCTTTTTGATAATAATTTTTCTTGGCATTCTGATCCAACTTCAGAAAATATGATACCAATGGAGTCAAATCAGAGCAATAATCAAGATCATAAATTAATTATTGGTCATAATGTTGGGTATGATAGGTCATGGATAAAGGAACAATATTATCTCCAGGGTAACAATTTAATTGTTAATTTTTTATTTGGGATTTAGCTTGTGTTTATTTATTTTAACATCAACAACTAAACTTAAGTAGGTGCAAAAATAATAAATATTTATGAAATATAAATATTTAATATGGTGCTTTGCTCATTTGATAGAGAATTTCTGTATTTAATTTATTCATAAATAAAATTATTTTAGTTGCAAAAATTGTTAAAATAACTTATTTATATTCTCATTTTACAAAATAATTTGCAAATTAATTAGCATAGCTCTGTTGTATCCATAACTAGAGGGTGAAAACATTCATTATCATGTTATACTGCCTCCTCAAAGTAGTATTATGATTTTATTATGTGTTAGAAACTAATTAAAATTATCCACTGGCATTACTGACTGAAGTAGTATGCCAAAAATTTTGTGAGGGGGGGGGGTTGGGCATTATAATTTTTTATATTATTATAAATGATATATAAAAAGGTGATTTTTTTATTGTGATTTATATTATATTTTAAATTTGTCACACAAATATAATACAACCTATATTTTTACATATTATAAAATGTTTCCATAAATCATTCATTTCTTTGATCCTTTGGGCTGTATTTTTTTTTTGAAAAGATTTTATTCACCCTTGATTCTTTTTCATATTTTGATATATGGGGGAATCCACTCCGATGTCTAAGGTAAATGAATATTTATGAACATTAAGTTTGTTAAATTATTTATTCTAAAATTTATTTGTCTACCATGATCAAATTCATAGATGAAAGCCCTTTCACACACTTAGGCAATACTACAGGATAAAGTATCCATACAGTTAAGGAATTTTTAAATTTTTCATTAGAAATATCTTAATAATTTAATTCTTTTATTATTAGTCAGGCAATAAAAAATGATTCATTATGAAAAGGATATCCGAAGAACCTGATAAAAAAATATTCCAATTTATTATTTCTTTCAAAGATCAATTAATCCTAACAATCTGCCTATTTGAAAATTTTAAATTCCTAATTTAAAAACATTTAAAAATTGGATTATTTATTGCCTATAGTGTTGTTAAATCGGTTCTTAATCTTGAGAGTCATAAAAATTATGAGTTGATTTTTTTATTGAGATATCCTATTTAAAATAGTTTTCGCTTAAAAATCTGGTTTAGTCTTTTTAGAGTCATCTCAAAATTTGTTAAAAATGAAGCCATTTATCACCACTACTTGCTGCTGGTGAACATCAATTTATATATGTAAATAAAACAGTACTTAAAGTGTTTATATTTAGCCTTTATTTTAGTTTTAATATTTTCAAAAATGTGTTTTTTACTTTTAATTTCCTAATATCTATGAAAATTGTTAAAATGAATAAAAATTTTAGTTTATAAAAAATAAAAATAATGAAAAATAAAACTTGCTTCTCTATCTTCCCTATAAAGGTACCACCTTATAAAGAAAAAGGGGAAAAATAAACTATATTTTTGACTTTAATTAGGGGATTTAAATCAAAAACCTTAAAAATATTAAAAATTTATGGCAGGGAGCTAAACTTTTTAAATTTTGGAAAAGGTAAAAAAAAATTTAGTGGGAGCTTAGCCCCCCCCAGTAGCCATTCTCGTAATACATTCCTGCTAGCCTAGTAATTTATTGCCCTAGAAAGATGTCTATTAAATATTGCTTATTTTTGTCTAGGTTAACCCCTGATCATGACTTGCGAGAAACACAATGGAACTATATTTTTGCATCCAGGGAGCCTTTTTAATACAGGAATGTTTAGGACTTTTGATAAGATTTTTTTTAAAATGATACATTTTTTAAATTATACTTGGATCATTATATTTTCCCTAAAAAATTTTACTTATTATTTTTAATAAAATAAATACCATAGCCTCTAATTCTAATATCAACATATCTCACATTTTAATTAACTATCATCACTAGAAAAACGAAAATAGTCTTTATAATTGTAAATTGTATATAGTCCTAAAAAATATATCAGCTAATGAAGCATAAAGATACGTTTAAACATCAACAATTTAGAAATTGAAATTTCTTATAATAGTCATCTGAATTAAAAAAAAAGATATCCAGAAAGAGGAGATATTATGAATGGACTGTCTAACCTTACATATTGCCTTGCAGACTTCCTCAACAATAATGGAAAGAGGGCTTTTAAAATATGAAATTCATATGAGATTTTTCTGAAAGCTATTCCTGATATACTAAATAAATATATATTACCTTAAAGTCTAAACCAATCTTTCCTTTAGTATTCTATAAGGCTGCTTGGAATTGGATTTAAACATTTATAAGATATAATAGTACGTAGGTTAATCCATTCTTGTATAATTGTAGAATATATGAAAATCAATTTTTATCTTTTGAAAATGATAAAAGCTATCATAAAATTTTCTTTCAAAGATATATTCTATTTTTTTTTAAATTATTCTTTTAATAAATAATTTTCAAGAAAGATTATTTTACGCTTTTCATCTGAAAAAAAAACGCAAAAGCTTTGAGAAAAAATTAGTTAGGACGGCATTTTAAGGATGATAAACATAATAGCTTCTATTTTTTAATTCCGAAAAAATTATTAATTATAACATTTAATAGGCACTTTTAATTTATTATTTTTTGTTATGATATAAAAATAAAATAATATTTAGCTTCAAATACAAAGTTTCTAGACACAATGTCTTTACATCTAGCCTGCTCTGGTTTGACCCACCTACAAAGAATCTCAAAGTTAGCACATAAAAATAAAAGTGAAGAAGAAAAATTATCTTCTCCTTTTGCCACAATTGAAGGCGGTTGGGAAAGAGTCGGATCTTTGAATAATTTAGCCGATATACACAAATTGTATTGCGGTAGTGGTAGCTCTAATGATGACTCAAACAAAAAAAAATTCTACGTAAAATCAGATGAAATTAAAGAAGGAAAAATGAAGAACGTGAACAAAGTTGGGAATCGTAAAGCAGGGGATGAAGATTGTATTGAATAAATTTTTTTGTAGCATAACATAAATTATTATACGGAAAAATATTGCTTTTTTTGTATTTTAAATTTTGGTACAAAAACTTACTAAATTATCTTAAAGATTTTTTCGGCTTATTTTGTTTTTTCGATTATCCAATTTTTTTTAGCGATGCCATCTCCCTTAGTTCACTTTCTCAGCGGTAATCTAAATGACGTTGCCAACGACTTTCAACGCTGTGCTTCATATTGCGCTCGCGATTGCTTAGCAGTCTACGACGTTCTTGGCATTCTTTTTCCTGCCTTTTGCTCTCGCTTTCCCCATCCCGCAACACTAGCCGGCACGCTTTGTATGGGTAACATAGTTGATACTTGTCAAATTTGCGTTTAAAAATTTTTTAGGAATCTTTTGGTGTTTTTTTTATATCGGATATAAACGTCATCTTTATTATGTTATTATTTGCTAACGATTTTAATTAAGTTAACAATAATGAAACAGAATGATTATTATTATTCCATGATGGTATTCTAAATTCTGAAAAATTATTCTGTTATAACGAAGAACAAAACTAAAATAAAAATACGATAACTAAAATAAAAATACATTTAAAAAAAAACTCTAAGGAAAATAGAATAAATTAAAAAGGGTAATAAGATTAAATAGTAATGCTTTGAAAAGTTTAGAAAAAGAGGAATTCTAAAAATATTCCATGAATTTTTCGGGCTAAGGGCGTGATCAAAATGTTTCCTTTCATGAGTGGGTGGGTTGGGCTAAAAAATTTAGCATTAGACATGAATGGGGGTGAATATTCAGTGCTAACTTATGTAGGCAAGTCATAAAATGCTAGACTGCCCACCTTAAATATCGAACTTAAAGTATTTTGTGTTACAAAGCGACTAGCTATCAAAGGATAGCGTGTTAAATTTTCTTATTACGAATTGACGCCAGGCAGACATTATATAACATATTAAAGATTTTTATTTCGATTACAGAATAAAAACATCTCAGGGTTCCTGGAAAATTAAAATATTACTATATATCAATTCAAATTATATAACACAATAGGAACCTCATATCTGCCTACACAAAAATACGCTTGGTCAAGGTACATATTTTTAATAATATTTATTTGAATGGCATGGTTTAATTTTAAAATAAACAGTTAGCTTTGTTTGAAGTTAAAGTATTGTTTAATTTTTTTTTCATTTATCCTTATTAACAAACATTAATATGAATTATTATTTGAATTAGAATTAGAATTTATTTTGCTCCCATTACCTCATTTGCGTTTTCCACAAATTACATATAGTAATATTTAAAAATAATAAATGGAAGCAATAATTTGATTTTTTACACAATAATTTGAATTAAAATTTGTTGCTGCACCATTTTCAATGCACGGAGTAAAGCACCTAATTATTTAAATCTAGCCTCGTTATGGAACGGAAATATGTATCAATTTAATTTTTATTTTTATCCTTAATATATAATTGTTTGCACCAAATATTCACTCTCATTACCTCTCTTTGCACAGTTCTTAAGCCGATATCGTAAAATAGTTCGAATCTCAAAATATGAATGCTCAAGCAATGAGTTGCGTAAAAATGAGCGTGAATGAAACTTGTAAAACTATATTTTTAGCTCATGCTCATTATAACGTTAGAAAATAAATAAAATCGATCTTTGTTTTAGTTCCTTATATTTATATGATTTTAAGTAGGCGAATATATAAAAGACTTATTTCTAAAGGTATCTAAAGGAAGCAGAAAATGGCTACAAGGAGAGAGATAAAGAGATACGGGAGGCTCTAGCCGGTTTGGCTCAAAGCGCTTGCGCATTAGTTAGCGATGGCAATAAAACGTATATTTTTATTTATTTATTTTATAATACAATATGTGAGAAAATAGAAAAAAGGGTCAGGCCAGTAAATTGAATAAATTACAACTTTAAGCATAAAACAAAAAGGTCAAAAGATAAGCAAGTTAACTAGAAGAAACTCAAAAATTATTTTAGAAAAATGATTGAAATTTAAAAAAAGCGTTAAAGATTATCGGGTTGAGTTTACTTGTACCCATGACGTTTAACCTGTTTTCACACATATGGGTAAATCTTCAATGAGAATATAACATACAAAGCGGGAAAAATATTTTTAAGTATCTATATATATTTGTGTTTACCTAATTGAGTAATATTTTTAAAAAAGTATAAAACAATCAATTTTGTAATTTTTTTAAAAAAAATATAAATTTAAAGGATAAAAAATGAAGTAAAATTTTTTTATTTTACTTAATTGTAAATTCCCATATTTTAATTAAGGTTGGATTTAAATCATGGTATTATTGATTTATATCTGACTTTTAAATATAGGTTTTTTTGGTCATGTAGTGTCATTTTATACATCACGACCTTTTTCAAAAATATAGTTTCATTTTGCCATCTAAATATTATTGAAAAAATATGATACATTAAAAAAAAGAATACGATGTCACCAAAATAGCTATAAATTAGATTTTTTTCATTTTTAAACATCTAAAATCGAAGATATTCTTTTTTTTGATTAATTATGTGGATATAGCATAATTTTTAGAAACGTTTATATTCATTCATATTTTATCGTTTTTGATTTTTTAAATATTAAAAAATCCTATTAAGGTTCTTGGCATGGTAACAACATCCTAATAGGGTTTGGCATATCTATCACGTTTTTGGCCAGTTAAAAATGTTAGACATTGAGTGGGCGGCCTAAAAATATTTTTAAAACAATGAGCAGGTTGTTTAATTTAAAACACTTTTTGGCAAAATGGGCAGAGCGGGCTTATATTTATTAAAAATTATTTTTTATTTTTTCATAGTGATTTTTTTTATAAAAACGAATTTAAACAAAGGTCATTAAATAAAACAAATTATCATTTTAAAGCAATAGGTCATATAATTTTAAAAAACAATTAAATTATGTATTAACTATTCGTATGGCGAGCGTGTTTTTTAAACAATGGGGGGAGGTTAGCGTGTACCGCCCATTGCACACCTGCAATTTATCAAAAAACCTCCTCCTTTTTTGTTACGAGATTTCCTGCTTTGGAAATATTTGTTCATAGTTGCTGCTTATTTAGGACTATGAATATAGTAACATCTATAAGTTTCATGGGGGAAATTAATGAATAAAAACTCTCATAGAAAAGAAATAACAAATAAAATATAAATAAGAATAATTTTTATATGTGCCAAGCTCTATTGCGGTCGATATATAGGCAATAATATATATAAAAAACCCAGTTCGGATAGTAAAAGACCGGTTAGGACTGAAGGCTCTACGAAAAAAGATCGATCTTGCCCAAAACTATTTAGGACGCACATTTGACTTCACTAGACTTTATTACAGGGATGTGAACCATTCGACATAAAAAAGGGTCCGGGTTCGGGTACAGGAATAAAATTTGAAATGACCAGGGTTCGAGTCCGGGTTCAGGGAACATAAAAATAATGACTCAAAATAAGATTTTTTTAAAATTCATTTATTATACCTCAATATATATATATTCATAATTTACAAATGAAAAATTTAAAAATGAAATAATTTATATTTTAAATGTTTTATTCTCGCACGATCATAATATCTTCTAAAATATCATCCTTGAGATTTCCACGTAAAGTAGACAATATATATTTTAAAGATGAAAATTCACGTTCTACCCTTACCTAAAATAGATAGTTATCTTTATAAAATTATTATACTTGTATCGCCCGTACAGCCATGAAGATTCTAGATAAGATATATAAATCTGGATATATTGAAGAATTTTTTTCCCAGAATTTTAAAATATTTATATCCTTATTAATTCTCTTAACTTCTGAGAACTTTACTATTAAAGATGCAATAGGCATTTTTTGATCCTCCTTTCTATCTGATGATATTTTTTTTTCTCTATCTAAAAGTAAAATTTCAAGATCATCAATGTTGCTATCATTATTAATATCACTACAACCAATAGGTATTGTAGCCTCCAATATATTGTAAATAATGGAGTTTTGCTTATGCCATAAATCCTTAAGATTGTCTTTAGCCATTTGTTTTTACTCAATACTCAATAAAACTTGATATCGAGGGTCTAAATATATAGAAGCGTATACAACATGCAAATATTGTTGCTCTCGAATTTTCATGTTTTCTAATATTTCGTATAAAGAAGACTGTAAATTTTTCTAAATCTAATCGGCATCAAATCCATATGCTTTAAAATCAAATAAACATAATTGTTTTGATTGTAATCTTAATATTGTTATTTTTAAAGGAACTAATACACTAGTAAGGTCCTTTATTTGTCACCAATCATCTTCCGCCAAAATGACTTCACGTGCTCCTATAATAAAATCATTACAGAAATTTTTCAAACTTAATAATCGTTCTAGCTTCATACAAATTGAGGACCAACGTGTTGTGCATTATCATTTAAATTAAAATATTATTTCTTGTACTACAAAATAATTCACTTTCAAAACAATCAACGTATTTCTATAACATAGCATATTAATAAATTTACATAATAAAATTTTATTACACTGGAAAATAATTTATAGTTAATAAAATTAAAAAAATTTATATTATTTAAAAAAAAAAAATTTTATTTATAAAAATTTTTATGACACCTAGAACCCTTGGACCCTCCATTTTTGAAAAGTGTCCAGGTTCGGGTTCAGCCAAAATAAGAGGATCCTGGTTCTGGTTCCCATCCCTGCTTTATTATAAACTGATTTTGGAAATATATTTCTTATTAGGAATAAATCTTAAACTAACAATATTTATTTTATTCTTTATATTAATTATGGATTAAATTAAAATATTTTTCATAATATTAGAAAATGTTATATGAAAATTAATAGTAAATAATGCCCATCTCTCGAATTTTTTAAAACTTTCCTTATTTTTAAATTGATTTTATAAATTTCATAGCCAATCAAACAAAAGGCAAGTAAAGAAATATAATATTTCGGGCCACATGCTGAGTTAATATTCTATTGATGATATTACCGGCTGGCCTGCGGGACTCTAATCTCTTCTCTATTATAATATTAAATTTAAATATTGCAATTACTCAATTTGAAAATTAAATATATTTGATTCATATAAAATTTCTCATTGCGCCCGGGGATTTCTTGAACCAGCTCGTCGCGCCCAATCATAGGTCGAAAATTAAAGTTTATTCGCGTTAAAATGACCCGTCTAATTACGTATTTCCACAGCCTATGCCTACCTCTAATTTTATGAACATATTATCACGATTTATTATTTGAACTTTATAAAAGAAGTATTAATTTCATTGTTCAGCTTAATAATCGGAAAAGAAGTTTGATTTAAATTAAATCAAAAATTAACCCTGTTTTGATGCTAACTTTCCCATTTTCTAATTGGCTAATCAAGGGTGTATCCTAATATTCCCAGTAGTTATTTAAAATATTAAGTCTCAATATTTAAAACTTAATCTCTGATATTTTCCACATTCACCTTTCTCCTATTATAAATTCAGGTATGAAAAAGACCCATGGTTATGGGATTTAGATTGGTCCGTTCAACGCTTAAAGTTAAACAAAAATAAGAACATTCGCTCATCCAAAAAAGATGGTAATATTTCTGTCAATGCTGGACTATCCCCTACAAGTAATGCTAAGCTTGAATCTTTGCGAAAGTGTTTAGAAAATACACCCCAAGTAAAGATTTGTGAGTCTGAAAATTTAGAAACGTACGACGGCAATTTGGTAGATTTTGTCAATTTGAACAAAGAAATTGATGACTGCAAAACGGGAACTTTGGAAAAAGTTTTGGCGACAGTCAATTATTTACCCAAAGTATGCCGTTGTTATTATATTAGATTTTTAGTCAAAATATTATTACCTAAGCCTCGAAATTTCGCCAATAGAAGTTCAAACTTTTCTGCCATATGTGGTCAAAATAAATAACTTGAGTAATTTACTTTTGGCCAAAATCTTGAGTTAACCATTTTTAATTGGCTAAATCGAGCCGTTTAACAACACAAGCTGAATGTGACTCGTTAGGTATTTTAAACCTTTTCTTGTTGCAGATAATATAACAAAAAATATTGTTAAATTTTTAATTTATTTAGTTCCTTTTATTTATTTATTATTATGAAATTATTTATAAAATATATAATTAGGGGTTTAAGATTTTCGCCAATATAATTTTATATACGCCTCGAGATTTTGCTCATAGATGCTAAAATATTTGCCAAATCTTGAGATTTTCATATTATTTTGGCTAAAATCTTCCCGAATCGGACTTTTGAACAACCCTATATACAATCATAACATAATACAAAACAATAAAAAATATAGGATCGGATCAGTTTTTTAAACAACATCGTCCCGATTCGATATTTTTTAAAAATATTACCTGTGCCGCTCGGATATTTAATTTCGGCACAGCCCTACTAATTGCCTTGTCGATATCCTGATAAATTCCAATTATGATTTTATTTTAATAAAAGAAAAGAAAACATCATTTTTTTTGGCTACTAAAAAAGAAAAGTTCTATATTTTTCCAGACTAGTCTTAAATATTTTAAAATTTTAGGCCCCAAGCTTCGGACCGGCTTACAGAGTTATAAAGCAATATATTTTTAATTTTTAATTAAAAATAGTCTTTTATTTCATAATATATATTAGAAGTCTACAAGGTGCGGCGGGGTGACGTCTGAAAAAATATATTTGGGCTGGGCCAAGCATAGGAGCCCAGCTATGCAAAATTTTATTTAAAATATATTAATAAATTGTAATATTTTATAGGAGTGATAATCTATAAACCAATATCATATATAGTTGTTTATTTTGGTGTTCAATAACATATATTTCTGTTTTGGGCTTGTATTTAAAAATTGGGCTAGGCAAAAACTATATTCCCACGGGTTAGGGGCTGGGCATGAAAATTTTGCTATTTGCAGACCTCTAATATATATATACACATATATACTATAAGAGAGTAATTACTAGTTATGACGAAGGTGAGATTAATATAATGTTAAGACAAACCTGCGCACTGTTATAGATCCCCCAATTCAAAAAAATAATTTTTTAAAAAGGACTCAATATAAGAATATTTTTGTTAAACTATGGCTTAAAATAAAATGTATGGAACATGGTTACTTGATATTAAAGCTTGAGACCAACAAAAAAATTTTTTTAGGCCAGATCCAGCCCTAAGAATAATGGAAAATTTTAGGTAAAGACAAGGCCTGAATTTATATAAATGGCATTAGAAAATATATCTCAAACTGAAAATATTTCTTTTATTCTTTATTTTAACGTTATGCATTCAGTTTAAATATTCAGTATCTAATGATGTTTATCTATTTTATTTATTAAAAAATTTGATAAGAAATATTTCCCACAGTCCGATTTTTTTTAAAAACAATTTTCTTATTTTTTAAAATTAATTTTAGAATTGTAATAATCAATCAGCTAAAAAAATGAAGGAAATATAACATTGATATTTTTTCGGGTCACTATGATCAGAATTACATTGCCGTTTTATATAAATTTAATTTAAAAAAGATACAACCGTTTCTTCCCGGCTATCCAGCTTGGTATAGGGAGCTTTGCCAAAAGTCGCTAGGCTTTAATAATGAAGAAAAATCGGATATAAATGGAGAAAATTCATGGAAGCCTGGCCCCTTTTTAATCACTTCTTTGGCACGTATTGCTCCAAAACTCCTGCGTTTAACGTGGAATGATTATCCCCTTTATTTTCATCCTAAATATAAATGGGGTTATCTGGTTCCAGGAAATTTAACAAATTTAAAGCCAGCCATAGAGGGTAAAATATTAAAAAAAAATTGAAATAATATAAGGGAAGAGCGCTTTATGTGAATAAAATTGTGCTTTCTTTTATGCTAAGATATTTAAATTAATTATATTCTTTGGCTGATTATAAGATTATTTCGAACTAGGGACCCGGAGTGAACTAGAATGAACCGCTAAACCGTTATAAATATCTGAACCGTAACCGAACTGATGTAATTATTTTTTGAAGGAGTAAAAATAACCTTTATTAAAAATTTTAACCGTGAACCGGTTTCAGCCAAAATAAAATAAATAATTTTACCTTTTATTACATTCTTTTCCTTGTGGTGTATTACATATTTTACCATATCTACGTCATTATTTATAATTATTAAAAGATCAAAATATTTGTTTAATATCCATAAGAAGTATGTATTAATTTTTCACTATTACTTAAATTGATCCACAAAATTTTAACTGCTTCTTATAGTATCAGAGCATTCCTAGTTCCTATATTTTAGTATGCTAAATATCCAAACAACCAATTTTTGATTAGTTGTATTTAATTAATCTAAAAAATCTTCAGTTTTTATATATTGGGAATCAAAGAAATTTGAATATCCAATATTATAAAAACTTGCTGTACTTGCCTTTCCCGCAACACAAGTTTCTGTTAAAAGGGCTTTCGGGCTAAAATTTCGCCACAACGAATAAATATGAATCCACTTATATTAGAAAATATATTACTTATACGTTTAAATAATATATTTAGAAATGAGTTATGATTCTTATATATTTTTTTATATATTATTCATTGATACTTATAATAAAAATAAATTAATTTCATCTATTTTATAAATAAACAATATTATTAACTTAAGTGATGGCAAAAATTTTAATAAATAATATTTACAATTAAAATCATACTATGGTGTTGCCTCAATAAAAAAAAATTCTATCGTAATGAACCTTTATGAACCTTTACAATTAGCTGAACTGAACCGAAACTTTATAAATTTTTCTTAAGAACCCTAACCATAATAATTTTTACATACTACCATAACCAAACTGAACCATTATAAATTAAGGTTTAGGTCCCTTCTCCGAACAGCCAAATTATTTGACTAAGTCAAACAATTTAGTCAACTACCTATAGGTGGCATACGTTTATATGCCTAGTTTTGGTTTTCAATATTATAACTGATATAGAAAATAAATGTTTTATAATTATTTTACAGAATCCGTTATATTATCAAAATAAAAGATATATGACATCTAGTACCCTAGAAATAAATAAAAAATAATATTTTTTAAATTGTAATAATAATGTTTTACCCAAAATAAAAAATATTAGCGCTTGTCGACTAATTTGGTCACACGAGTTTTTGGTTGGGTTAGTCAACTACTATTTTTAGTCATGGTCGGATGAATTCGACTAATTAATAACTAGTTATATCTGAATCTGAGTAATACAGCTTCTTTTAGTCACGGTATCCTTTTTGAGAGGCCATAATGACCATTTTTTTAAACATGGTGTTCTTCAATATTGACTGATCACGGACTGTAAGTTTTTTTTAAAAAAAATCACTTTATCTCGGAAGAAGGGCATTATGTTAAAAAATTATATAAGTGGTTGTGTTTACATAACCGTTGAGATATCAGATGAAGGAAATTTTACTTATTTTTAAGCCACGAACGCATCATATTTCCTCAAAAAAATTATATTTTATAAAGACTATATTTAAAAATATGTAAATGTTTTAATCAGGTGAAAATGGTAACAAAGTTCAATTTTCGCTACAAAACTTACCGCAATTTCGTCAATCAAGTCCCAACACACTCGAGTCGGAGCTCGATCCACTCCAATCCAATAAAACAAGAAACATATTATGGGACGATGTTATGAATTCTTGTTACGAAGGGAACCTAGACGACACCAACAAAAATTTTTCAAAATTCATCGAGTATTCTAAAAAATTGGAAAAATTGCATGCAGTCCAGACGACGATAAATAATAAGAATGGGTTTAATGATAATGGTAGAAAATCGATCGATGATTTAGGATTGGATACTGGAGCCGGATGCCAGGATGTACCAGGTTGCTGGTATTACCCTCTGCCTCATAAAAATGGACCAGCATTTAGAGTTTCTTATTATTTTTTTCAATAAAATGCATTATTTTTCTTGAGAGTATAGGATTTATTCGAAGAAAATTATAATCTCTTTCTCATTAGGGCATATTCTTCCAATATTCCATAATTTTTTTTTTTAAATATTGTAAAATAAAAGGTAGGTAATCCCCTTTCGAAGGATTTTATTCCTCGGTTAGAAGATGGTACACTTAAGGCGTGTTCTGGTGATCAAGCTCAAAAGGTTTTAACTAACAGTAGCGTTATATCCTACTGGAAAAATGCAAGATTAAGGATTATGACTCAGTTATTGGTCTGCCCTCCAACTAGTTCTTATTTTCCTCCCCATTTTAAATTTCATAAATTGACCCATTCCGAGGAAAATGTTACAAACCCTGACGATAATATAGAAAGAACGTATGGCGCAATATTGCCTAAACTCGTAGTATGCGGGACCGTTTCTAGGCGGGCAGTGGAACCAACATGGCTAACCGCTAGCAATGCTAGGGTAATTAAAATCAATTTCCCTTTCATTTGAAAACTTTTACATTTTTTCTTCAATATATTATGGTTTAATTAGACGATAATCCTGGTTCGTAAACTATAAGATACTTATTACAAGATAAAATAGTGAATTGAATTAAAATTTACAGAATATTTAAAATCTAATTAATAGTCAGATAGATTGGGAAGCGAGCTTAAGGCTATGATACAAGCTCCTCCTAGCTATTGCTTTGTCGGTGCCGATGTTGATTCACAAGAACTTTGGATAGCGTCTATTCTTGGTGATTCTCATACATCCCTCAAAATGCATGGTTGTACGGCCTTCGGTTGGATGACCCTTCAAGGTTTTAAAATGTATAGGAATTAAGAGGGATGGGGCAATATATAGAATCGAAATAAATAATATTATTAAACATTAATTAGAAATTGACAATTTTTAATCGATATAAACCCTCCCCCACCCCACCTCTATACAAGGCAATAAACTAGACAATTCGGATATGCACAGCAGGACCGCTTCTCTCATAGGCATTTCAAGAGATGAGGCCAAAATTCTCAATTATGCTCGAATTTATGGGGCCGGCCATAATTTTGCCACTCGTTTACTAATGCAGTTTAACCATAAATTCGACAAAATCAAAGCCGGCAAAAAATCAAGGGAAATGTTTTTGGCTACTAAAGGTTTTCATGATTAATAATAATTCATCGATTGCTATTATAAGGTTCTAGCTTTATTTTGATTAATTTTACCGGAGAGCGATTTAATAAAAAAAATTATGTCACATGGCTAATATTATGTAATCTAGTCTAATTCATTACCAAAAAACATACTTCAAAATTGGTTTTTGATATTTTTTCTTCAATATAAAAGGGTGTCTACGAGACTCATAATCAGATTTTACCAAAATTGGAGTTAGAATCCTATTTTATTCTTTCATTTTAGAGATTTACTCCCAATAAGATGGTACTATATTTTAATTATTTTACAGTTTATTATTATGAAAAGTAGGTATTTTAAAAGAAAGAATAGAAAGAAATTTAAATAATGATTATCACTAACCTAATAAATTAAAAATAACATTACTTAATATAGGTAGAAAAGTGGAGACAGAGCGGGGAAAAATTTGGGAAAAGGGCTCTGAATCACAGATGTTTAACAAGCTTGAAGAGATAGCCGTGAGTGATCATCCCAAAACTCCTTTTTTAGAGAGCAGAATTTGTCGAACATTGGAACCCAAAAATGTGAATAATAACTTTATGACTTCTCGAATAAACTGGGTGGTTCAAAGCTCTGCCGTCGACTTTTTGCACATAATGCTCGTGAGTTTTTATTAACTAAACATCCATTTTTTTCCTATTTATGATAATTACCAGAGAAGATTAAACGTCTATCTCGTTATTATTTAAGGAGAGGGACGTGCCTTAAGGATAATACACCTTAAATGGGGCGCGGCGATATAATATTTAGCTCTAAAAAGCATGAACATATTCAAATATATTTTATGGACTGCAAGATAGATGTAAATGGGAAATAGCTCATAAAAAATGATGGCTATTAGTAAATTTAAAAGCACTTGATTCATTCTACCTTTTGATGATGATAATAATAATAATATATCAAAGGGCCAACAGGCCATAATAAACTTCCAAAGTAACTTCAATTGTTAAATATTTTCAAGATATGTCTCAAAATTTATATTCCTCCCAATCTATGATCAAATTTACTCACTAAAACCCACAAAAACTGCGATTTTTCGGGCTTTGCCTCTGATTTCGATCTATCTATATTCTGAGCAAGAAATGATTCTAAAGATAGACTAACATACCTATTTAGAGGCTTACACGCTAATAAAATTACCTTGTTTTATTTCATGCCAATGTATATTATATAATAAATTGTATTTTTATTACATGTTAATTTATATATAACAATCTTATTATGCCCATAAGGACTCTCAGGAATTTTTTTTGGAAAAATACAAACAATGTGTGATAAAGGGTTAAAGCTCAGTCACTTTTTTGCTTACCCCCGTGGCTACCGTTTTAAGTTGTGGTTATTAAATTAATTAATATTCAGGTAGACATATTTATTATATATGTTTTAAAAGGAAATTTTTTATCCGCTTCAAGGCATATAGCTGTTTTTTCTAGCTATAAACTTGGCTAAGCATTTTTGGAGTCGCCTTGAGCAGGGCTATCTACCAACAGACAGAATGGTAGATGAGGCGTCATTCCCATCCAGATGAAACTTGAACTTCTTTAATAATCACATTTTCATTCTTTTCACCTGTATATTCTAAAGTTATTTATATGTATATATTAACATTTGATATTACGCGACTTCTGTAATGATAACTGATTAACCAATTTATAAGAGTTCAACAAAAAAAATATGATTTTATCCTAAAAAAAATACTTCATATGATTTGCTACAGGGGTGTCTGTTCAAAAAAACGCCTGGCTAAAACAAAAAATATTTTAGGCTTTCAAATTTAATTTAAACCTACTGAGCACCCTTTGGCCACACAGCTGATATTCTGTAATTTTTAATCATATTTTTAGCCCACTAATTTCAACATCGATCTGAATTACTTATTTTCTTATTATAAGCTTTTAAGTAATTTATAAAAATTACGAATTCACATGTCTTTAAATAAAATAAAGGACCAAATGTCATATTTTGAGAAACAAGGAATTGGGAAAATTATTTTATACCCAGCTTCTAGAATTTTTTAGGTTTTTATAAAATATTTTAGTTTCTCGGAACTTTCTCAATGAAAAATTTAGAAAGTAACTGGGATCAAACATTTAAAATTAAAAAAACTGGACCTATACTAATTGGCAACATTTTTTTTAACTTTTAAAGGAAGTAGAACAGGGCAAAGCGTAAATAATACCCTTGCTCCTGGTCCCTGATCGTAACTTGTCTAATATTTTATTCAAAGAGTGACAAAAAATATTTGAGAATCCCCCACCCCATCTTAAGATTAATTTAAAAAAAAAATTAAGCACACATATAATTAAAAACGTGCCCAAATCGGGAAGAATGTCACCTTGTATAGACAATATTTATAGAAATTTAAAATGTTTTCATCATTTTTTACTATTCCATAACTCAGGTTTGTATGGATTGGTTGTTCAAAAAATATGAAATCGAAGGTAGATATTCTATTAGCATCCACGATGAAGTACGGTATTTAGTCCTGGAGAAAGATAAATACAGAGCGGCCCTGGCCCTACAACTGACGAATTTATTCACTAGGGCATTTTTCTCTTATCGGTTAGAAATGTATGATTTGCCTATGGTATTATTTAATATACATAAAATGTTCGAAAATAAAATCCCCAGATGAAAAGCAAATATAAAAAATTTTATAAACATATGATGAAGCCAAATTTAAAAAAATTAAAGATGTATTCGAGCCCATTTTAAACTTGTAACATTTCGTTTATATTTATATCCTTTAAAAGTTACAATAGATGAAAGTTATAGTTCATTTATTGTATAGTATAATGAAAAATATATTAGCTGAAAAAATATCATTATTTTATTATAATAATTATTAAGCTGTTCTTCAATGAATGTTTCTAAGATACAATCATAAAAAATATGAAAATAAATTGTAAAATAACAAATTTGTTATATAATGCGATATAAAGATATTTTTTTAAAAATTATATATTATAATATTGAAAACAATATCAGAACCAATAATTAATTAGTAAATATCAATAAATTAACATCATAAATCAGCATTATTTTTTAATATTATTAATTTTTCAAATAATATGGCGTTCAGTCTGACGATTTGGTCTATTGACCATATTAGCAAAGTTGTATAATCGTTCAGGGACAGAGGATGGTAATAAATATTTCTTTTTATATAGCACCTGCCATCTTTCATATAATTTAGGACCTCTAATAATCATTTATTAAATTATTAGAATTGGATGTGGTACTTTTTAAACAGAAGTAATCATCATCTTCACCAATTGAAGATATTGTTGACATATTCATTTCAATATTATTTTTAAAAATAATTAAAGCTTCATGTATTAATAAATCCTGAAGGTTTTTTCTTTTTCATCATCAATCCAACAATTTTAAGGTAGGGATGAGAAATAGTGACCAAAAATGCTCTTTTAATGTTATTATCAAATTCATATATATTTTAAAATCTTTTATTTAAGAATTTTCTACTGCAGTAGCTAATGATTTGCAATAGTTTGAATTAAATTTGTGATTTTTTTGAAACTAAATTTAATATTGGAGCTGATTATCCATAATAGTAGTTGATTTCGCTTTCTATTTTGTCAATCGCTATAGCCAATGGGGACATTATATATAGCAATATTCTTCTAAATATTGCATTTCAATATCCCTTAGTTTTGGAAATTGTAATTTTTCACATAAATTTGGAAGCTCGCTTTTAAAATTTAATAAACTTATTCCATTTTGTACAGCATGATGTAACCAATTGTTTTCCTAAAACTGCTTTGATAAACTCTACAGTTTTAGGTCTATTATTAGCATTCCATAACTTAGTACATTTGGCTAGTGCTGGATGATGAATTCTAGAAATGGTAGGAGAATCCTTAATAGTTTTCTCGACATCTGTAGTGGCAATAAGACTCATCTTATGGCATAGACAACGAATGTGCTGAGGCAATGATATTGATTTTTCTTTAGACCCTTAAATATATACAAATAAATAATTTTATTTGAATAAAATCTTTTATTAAATTTACCATATCATTTTTTACAATAAAAGAAGTAAAATAATATTTTCAATGACTTCTAATTCTATACATTCATCTTAATTGATGTCAAGGTCATTCTCCACACCTTCTTCCATAGAATATCCAAGCTTAAAAGCTTTGATAAAATTAAATCCGTTGTCTGTCACAGTTTCTATAAATTTTTCATCAATTCCAAAGTCACGATGGATTTCATCAACTAACTTTGCTATTTTATCATATGTGTGGCTTCCCAAAAATCTTCTTACAACAAGAGCCCGAGATTGTCTTTGTAAACTATCGTTTGGGAGCTTATTTAAATATTTATTTAATTGAATTTATTAATAAAATAGCATATGATTTCATTATCCAGTGACAAGTCATTCCAAGAAAGCTTCTAGTCTTAGATGACCAAATATCTGCAGTAGCGCAGATATATATCTGAGCTTTCATTAACTGTTTTAAATTAACACTTTCATATTTGAAGCTTTCATCAATTCTTCTTTGCAAATATCTTCGAGAAAATTCTAATTGATAATGGTAATCGAATACAAGATAATATTTCTAATGAATTGACAAGTAGAAGAGATAAGGATTAGAGAAAAAAATTAAATTTATCTTCCATCATTTTAACAAATTCTTTTTGCTCAACTATATATAATGGATGCATCCCTTTAGCAGCAAATGAAGTTAATAAATTATTAAATTTTTCTTGAGATATTTTTTTCTTTTTATCATTTGAAAATTCTAGCGTTTTTTGAGTTAATTATTTCGCAGTTTTCACAATTTCCTTTCTTTTTTTCTGTTTGTGTAATATTTCATGATGGTTAATATAATTTTTATATGATTCCAGATGACGACTCTATCACTGAAACAAAAATAAAATATTTTATATTAGAGATTTATTTAATAAATTTGCAACCAAGGTCATATTTTGCATTGCCCTAATTTTTTTGTAAAAATTCTATTTTGAAATGATAAAATTAGACAGAATGTATTTATATTATAATATTATGATATTTATGAAAAAAACTATTGTCTTATTTATAAATAATTCTAATTATTACCCGCTAAAATTTTATAATTAATAATAATGAAAATCAAATATAATATTTACTGAGATATAAATGCAATATAATAGTCATCTATTTATTTTATAAAAATAAATATATTTTAAGAATATGTGTAAAAATTAAAAAAAAATACATATGAAAGGTGGATTAAATGTTGTACTATGTACTATCATGTTGATTATATTTTGGCCTAGTGTTAAAATTAATAATCTCTTTTTTTATCAATATTTATTTTCTTATTCTTTTCATCGATGTATATATATCATTTTAATTCCATTATCAATCATAAAATAGATGGATATAAAACGATTCAAATAAAATATGGTAGTTGTTTGCAAATTGCTATATGACGACCAACGTCATATATCATACATTATCTTTAAATATCTAAATTCGGATTAATTTAAAATTATTTAAAGTATCTGTATCTTTTTGAATACAAAATTGATTAGGATATAGATACTTTTAAATAATTTGTATCTAGATACAAATATCCTCGATACTGCCCAACTCTGCTATTCTATGATGCAATTATAATCAAGAATATTAACGCCATTTATAAATTTTTATTCTAACGAATTAAATCATTTTCTATTTGATATGTTTTTGAATAGATCTAGTTGAGTTGACATAAAGTAATTTTAATATTAATTGTTTTTTTAAGGTATTAATTGATATAGTTTATGATTAGCTATAGATTTTTTTAATTGGCATTTTAGCAAATATTTCTGCATATTATTTTCTAAAGAACAAAATATTCTATTCTATAAATGGCTTTTAGAATTTTCAAGGTATTTTTAATAATTTATTTAGTTAGCATATAAAGGCTTGCTACAGTAATTATTCCCCTATCTGAACTTTATCTCTTCTATCGAATAATCTCCTATACCTCCAACATTGCCTTCTCTCCCCTAGATTTGCTTTTCTACTTTCCTCGATATTTTCTTTAACTTTTATTTTATTCTCTCTCTCTCCTTTATCATAGTATTACATTTAACGCCTCTATTAATTAAATATTTTTAAAAATGGTAAAATATAAAGATAACTTTCCAGTCAGCCTTTGCACCCAAAAATAGTTGCTTCTCAAATAAATTTTACCAGAAATAAGAATATACCTTGTTTATAATGTTAAGAGCTACACAATGATATATAGTATGTGACTTTTACTACATATTTTTAAAATAAATAAGATTAAAATCACGGGTTGCACGATTTTTGGCTTTATAGACATATTTTTTAAGGTTCGAAGATTTAAATTTACAACATAAGTTATCATGTCTAATAACTAGTGTTGTTAAACGGTTCATTTTGAGCCGATTTTTAAAATCGGTTAACTCAGTATTTTATCCAGAAAACTATTACGCATGCCTGAAGATTTCATAGACGGTACAAAGTCTAGATAGCTATTTACGAAATCTGGAGGCTTAAGCAATTTTTTTCTGGCCTAAATATAGAGTTATCTGTTTTTCAAAAACGGCTCAAAACGAGCCGTTTAACAACACTACTGACAACATAAGTTATCATGCCATCTTATAGAAAATCGTCCGAAACACTGGTTGATTTTACATGGCTTTAGGCTAACTTGGTAGATTTTGCATGTGGTATCTGGCTTAATGCAATAATTTTTATTAGGAAAATTTGAATCTACATTTTATGATTAATAACGATTAGGTTATGTCATTGAACCAATCTCTTTTTTTCCTATTTATATGTTACATTTGTAGTTCTCTCTTATAAGTCACAACCATTAACGTATATAAACCTTAATCTTGAATATAATTGCGCATCTAAAGATACATAGTCTACCGAAAAAGGAAAGCCCCTTAACATCTTCGTTATATAAAAAAAATGAATGGCTAGAGATAAAGTAACCCCAAATATAGTTGTCAAAAATAATATTGCTTAGTTTGTGGCAAAATTTACCAAACGCATCATAAGCATGAAGATTTGTGTTAATTGGTCATGTCAGAAATAAGTATATAAAGAAAATGGGTAACTAACGGTATCTCGGGGAAATTTTCGATATTATTATTTTTTTTATTGTTTTTTTTTAAATATTTTTTTTATTATTTTTATTTATTTTTTTTATTAATAAATAAAAAAAATAGATAAAACTAGATATTCATAATATACTAGAGAATTAAGATTTTTTCTTGAAATTTTCAATTATTTAAAATTCTATTTAAGATTTATTCTTAAAATTTTCAATTATTTAAGATTCATTTAAAATTTTTCAAATACTAGATATTTAAGATTTTTTTCTTAAAATTTAAATTTTCTAAAACTATATAATCATAATATACTAGAGAATTAAGATTTTTTCTTGAAATTTTCAATTATTTAAGATTCATTCTAAAAATTTTCAATTTAATTTAAAATTTTGAATCAAATACTAAATATTTAAGATAAAAATATAATCATAATATACTAGAGAATTAAGATTTTTTCTTGAAATTTTCAATCAAATTCTAGATAAATAACCAATTTATTTGAATAAACACTGATAATATAGTTATATATATAATTTTTTTTCTTAAAATTTTCAATCAAATTCTAGATAATTAACCAATTTATTTCAATAAACAATGATAATATAGATATATATAATTTTAAGGAAAAACAAAAATAGTTTTATACATATTTATATCATTTAAAAATTTAATTAATTTATTTAAATTGGACATATTTTTAATTTTGCGAAAATAACTGTATTGACATATATACAAATGAGTTGAAGATTTTTTTCCATTTCTGGGTATGCTTGTTAATATTTTTCCTTTTAAAAATATGGGATTCATTTATTTCAATCACATGCCCAGGGCCCCCTATTTTGTCAAAATTAATTGCCTGTGTATGGCAGCAAATCTTTCTAAATATAGCATACCTAAAAAATACTTATTGACAAATTTTACAAATAAATATATACCATTTTCCAATGGTACATTGTGCTAACTCTATTAAAGGAAGGCTGTCGGATATTGACGTCAAGGACACAAAAAGATATATTAGATGTATAAATTTGTTAACAGGGATATTAACATTTTCAAGTATAGAGCCTAATTAATAAAATAAATTTAAAAAATAATATATTGTTAAACCCTTCCATATAGAATTGCTGCTTGTATATTATTTCTCTCCATTATCATATTATTATTACAACACGTGTGATTATCTAGAAGTTCGTGGTCTTTTAAAAAAGCTATGGTTCTTGTATAACAATTTATGATATCGATAAAAATAAGATATTCCATTATAATTACGGTCTTTTAAAAAAGCTATAATTAAAAATAACAACAATAAATAAAAAATAAATTTATAAAAAAAGATGAAAAATTTCCCCGAGATACCGTTAGTTACCAGAAAATGTTTTACATGGAACTCTTCAGTTTTTTATTTCAATGAATCAATTATCCCGATTAATGATTTTAATTTATTATGAATATGAACATTTGGTTTACATCAATAGGCACCCCTAGTAGGGATATAATATCCGTTTGGATATTCAAATAAATTACAAAACTCTCTCTTCTATAATAAAGTATTTATTGGATTACTTTAATTGACTTCGATTATAGGTGGGCACGGGCCTAATTTTTTATTCATGGCCCACCTGCTCACGGTTGCAATAAAAAAAATTTCACGCCATTCACGCTAACCACTATAAAAATTTCGACCCGTCCCGCCCGCTCACGAAAGGCAATAATTTAATTCACACTCGTCACGCCCGAAAATTCATGGTTTTTTAAATTTTACAAAACTATTGCTATTATTTTATATTTTTTGAATTTATTTTATTTATTTCATAATTCATATTAATAACAAAAAATAAATATATCAAAATTTTTATTGAGAAAAAGAAGAATGTCCATCTTTTTATTTCAATGTGTACGCCTTTCCTCTAATAAGAGATTGGTTACAGAAAATAACCTTTCACTAGAAGCCGAACTTTTCCGGGGCTGACAAAATATTGCTCGCTAATTTTCTCAAAAAAGGAAATGAATATTCCTGCTTCCAAAACTTCAAAATATTGTCTTGTTATTTGTCCTATAAGCGATGAATCTTTTAAGTTCATCTTCACAGCTTTCATCGAAGATGTTGATGCTTCATCAGAATCATCTAGAAATTCTCTAAATTTTTATTTAGAATATACAGTCTTTTATGATGTTGGATGAATTAAAAAAAGTTATAAATGATAGTTGACCATTTAGAATATACGGTTTTTTATGAGTTTAGTATAAATTAGGAAAGTTATAAATGATAGTTGGTATTATGCATATCAACTAATTTTATACCATTTAGCATTTTTAAAGTTGTTTTATATATATCATCCTTTTCTTCTATTAAAAACTTAAGACTTTTGAAATTCGGATCTAGAATTAAGCCTACCTTATGTAGTGGCTGCATAATAGATCTTTCTTTTAAAAGAATCTTGTCCTGTTTTTTAAGGTTTTGATTATTATTGTATCACATTCAGAAGGTTACCAAAATTTTACTAATTTTTGTTTCCATAGATAAACTTCATTTATTGTTGGACGAGAATCTGCGCTCGGATTATCCGAACATTCTTTAAATATTAATAAAAATTTATCTAACTCGAGTATGATTTAATATCAATTGTGGCTAAACTATTTAATTCTTGCTTGCTAAACAAGTACACCTTTAAGAAACTTTATATCATGATATATACAGAGTTTCAGTTATTACATATTGTTTTGTGGTTTAGCTTGCTATTAGCTGTAGATTATTTGAAATATTATACTATTATTTTACACCATTTATATTTAAGGATATTTCAGTTAAACAATTGTCAAAAATATGATGCATAATATTATTTAGTATATGGCATATACATGCTAGCGTTTCGTCATCTTTGAATGCATTTATAAGATTTGCTCCGTTATCAGTCACACAACTACATTTATTTAAATAATTATCTACTTCTGTGTATTATTCTAAAATTGAATTGACTATACTTATAATATTGATGCCTATTTTGATTTCCCTTGTGGTCAAAACAAATTCTTTTAATTCAAATTCCTTAATGATAATATGTCCTGTAATGGTTAAAAAAAACTTTGTTTATAGTCATCCGTCCAAAAATCAGTGGTTATGAACAAGTAATTATTATTGATCATGCTTTTAATCTTAATTTCATATATATTTTTAGAGCTATAGTATACTTGAGAGTTTTCCTGCTCACAAGTATACCTTTTATATTTTGTTGTCCATATGTAACACCAACATTTATTAACTCTTGGCCTAGCTTGTAAAATCCTTCACTTTCTGTTGCATTTAAAGATCGAAAATCTTTACAAATAAAATATAACTGACTTTTCTGTAAAATGCTTAAGCAAAATTTAGAAAAAAGTCTCGCGATAAAACACCTAAACATAAAAAAAAATAGAACTAACGGAATGATACCGGATGTTGTTTATAAAATGAGGAAGATTTTTTCCTTTCAAAGATTATTCTTTTTCAAAAAAGAATTAAATTAGAAAATATATATTACAATTATAAATTGCAAATTTATATTTAAAAAAAAACAATTTTAAAAATTAAAATATCCGTGATTCACTGGAAATTTATGTTCACGCCCGGAAAAAATTTTGGGAGGGCCGTCACGCCCAATCACGTCTTTTACGGCCCGCGCCCACCTCTAACTTCGATTAACATTCTTTTATGCACAATACTTTCGAAACAACACTGGCTATACGCTCTTGATTTTGATTAGTCACTTTTTTAAATAATTTTTTTATCAATTTACATTTTAAAAAAGTCCGTAGCATTTTTCTCTTCCATCGACATAGATAAATGCTTAAGAAAAGAAGTAGACACCGATTGTATTACGCCCTCCAATCCAGAAGGCCTTAATATTAATTATGGAATCAAATCCGGTAATCCTTTAAATATTAATATATTATGTAATTTGTTTATTCTGGTCACCATACTATTCGCCCATGAATAAACGTTTTTTATCAATTTTTCCAGTAAATAAGATTATCTGAGAGCCAAAAATCTTTCTCATAATAAAATAAGTAAGTTAAATATTTTAACTTCTTTTGGTCATAATAAATTAGTCAAATGTCATTGGTGTCGATTAAAATAATTACTATTTGGGGTTAATTCTGCTATTTTAGAATAAAGCAATTGAAATGTTGAATATATCTTGGGGCTTGTTGTTTTAAAAATTGTTTTGATCTGTGTGTTGAAGTGCGCGCCGTCGAACGATCCGATAGTCTGATCTCTTATAGCTTATATCACTAACTAATATTTCGTAGGAAGGGGAGGTTTGTTTTGATAAATAACTTATCATTATTTAAAATGTATAAAATTGCGCACCGAGAAGATATCAAAAAATAAGCTATAGTATGGAATAAATAGGAAAATGGATAAAGGGCTAAAATTAAAAGTAAACTCTCAGTAGTATATATATTTTTTATTAGTTTGCTTATAATATTTAATAGGACTGTGCCAATCCACAATTTTCTAAAAAAAACCTATCCGATACCGATTCGATATTTATTTTTTATATTTTTAAATACCACCTATCTTTGTATCATTGTCATAAAAATGTCAGTATTTTATATTTTGAAAAAAACCAACTAACCTTCACGGATGATTACGTGTATTTTTATTTTTTTATTCTCCAAAAGTTAATAATATCATTTAAAATATTTTCAATGTTTATGGGAAGAGGGCTAAATCAAAATTTTAGTCAAAATAATACTGCCTAAGCCTCTAAATTTTGCCAATAGAAGTCCAAACTTTTCTGCCATTTGTGGGCAAAATCAATAAGCTTGATTAATTTACTCCTAACCCTATATAGATATTATATTTTAAAATCGTTTTCTTGTTGCAGAAAATATAACAAAAAATAGTGCAAAATTTTTTAAACATTATAACTAAAAAATTGTATTTTAGTTCCTTTCATTAATTTATTATGAAATTATTTATAAAATAAAAAAAATTATACGATTATATATACAATCATAAAATAACCGAAAGCAATAAAAAATATCGGCCCGATTAATATATTTTGAAAACAGTAAATATCGGTGCCTATCTTATATTTAATATATGCACAGCCCTAAAATATAATACATATCTATTATAGAAATGTGACATTAATTTTTAATATTAGATTTGATTTTATTTTGGAGCTTGATAATTCATCAATTATTTGTGTAGTAATAGGCTACTATTGCTTTCAATATTTTATTCGCTCCTGCCACAATCAGATTTTCTCCGGCTCATAGTTGGGTAAATTCTTGCAAGTTTATGATGACTGTGCACAAATTCTTCACCTACCATTAAAGTAAAATAAAAGTTTAATAAACCCATGCTACTACGAATAATAGGGATTAGCCAGCAGCCAGTTCATATCATATGGCGGAGGCGGAACTCAAAATACTAAGTATATCCCAAAATACTGGCGTGTCTTCCTATAACAATCTCTACAAACGAAAGGGCCTTTTCAAATTGAGGAAAACTACATACAAAAATAGTTTAAATGGACTAACACTTTTATATATTTATCGCAAATTAACGCCTAGTATTTCACAAATAATTAATGAATTATCATCCAAAAGAAAATTAAACCTAACCTTATAAATTTATGAAATAATAATGTCACGTTTTTATATTATATATTATACATAAACTGCTCCTTTTTTTTATATTTCATTCAATCATTTTGAGAAATTGCATTGTTTGTAAATCAACTCGGCAAAAACTCTCATTGCCATTCATAAATTAAATTATATCAGTTTCATTGGAAGCTCCTTCCTAAGGAGCTAACCTAACTTTTTTTAAAAATATTTTTATATATATAATAATCCTTTCATATTTGAATCTTATTTTCTTATATTTTAACATATGATGGAATAAAATTATGATGAAGTATATATATCAGAGACCTACAAGCCCGGCCAGGCCGTATTTTAATTTTTTAAATTTACCCGGGCCGGGCCTGAAAATTTTTTTAATAAAAATATCCGGGCATGGCCTATATTTTAAAACCAAATATTTGAAATCGCCATTATTAGCTGTAAAAATCAAAAATAAATAAAATATATTTTAAAAAAATCCAGGCCTGGCCTGAAATTAAATCCTAGCTGGGCCGTACAAATGGTACCTCTTCAGGTCTCTGATATATATTATATATAATTTATATTATTATAATATAATATAACATATTAAACATAATACTATTTATAATAACATTTTTTATAAATTTAGGCGAAGCTCTGAATATTGAACAGATAATAGCTAAAACCAATGGAGTCATGGATAAGCCTATTGAAACAGATGCTTACCTATTTTAATACTCGCTTAAATTTTAATACATTTATTGTTAAAGATTATATACTAAAGTTTATAATAAAATAAATATATAACGTCAATCAATAAATTGTAAGTTATTTACGAACAAGCTAAAAATATTTGAGGATCACAAATTGATATTTTTTAAAGAAAATAAAATTTAAATTTGTAATAAAAATCACAAAAGATTTGGAATTTTAGGTAAAATTTGAGCGTAAAATCTTGTTTATGCATTCTCAAAGAGATTTTCATTTTAAAATGATTATTTATTTTAAAGAACATTTGAAATTAAGCGGTAAATTTTTAGTTATATTATTTGAAAATTAGTAGATTTATCAATATTAGTTATATTTGCAGAGCATTTAAAACTTTAAAATAATAAATCGAAAATTTGTACATTTATCACTATCAGTAAACTTATATAATTTTTATTAAAATTTAATTCTTAGTCGCAAATAAGATAAAAGAAAATTGATTTTACCGAAGGTGATGGTGAAAATTTTTTTAATCCTTTACCTGAGTTGGAATCTCTCTTGGGTTCTCGTAACCAATTATGCGCTAAAAAATTACGATTTTCTTGATTATATTAAATAAAATCATATTTGCTTTACATTTAGCCTTACCATTATTTAAATTTTTTCATTACAAGATTGGTGCCTGAATAAAAGTCAATTTGTACGATTTAAATCAAACTTTTGTTCGATTATTAAGCTGACTAATAAAATATGAGCTTCATTTAAAGGTAAAATAATGCAGGAATCCAAACCGAAACGAATATCGGTTTGGTTCAGGTTTAGATAAAATATGCGGTTCAAGGTTCGGTTCGTAAAAAATTAAAATATCGGCACTTTTGTATTCAAACCTACATTCGAATTATGTATAGGGAAAATATTTTTTTATTTTATCATTAAAATAAAAAACACATGTATAAAATCTTCATTTTTTTAATTGCACATTATAATATTTAATTTATAAATATAAAAATAAGAATATATATCAATGATTATTTAATATGAACAATATTTTACTTTTTTTACTTAAATTTTTTTATTAAGCCGCACAATTAATATATTTTCAAAATTCGTCTCACTCAAATTACATTTATAAGGAGATAGTATAAATTTAATTGTTGAAAAGTATCTTTCCACACTAACTTGGATAGCTGGCACTGTCAATATGATATCAGATTTGATGTGTCATTTATAATAATATTTTGGATTTAATTTTTCTCTAAGCATTTTAATTTATAAGCTTAAAATATTTTAAAAAAATGTTATAAAATGCCTATACTAAATTTTATAAAAATTATGACCGACACTCATCAATTAAATGTGATTGATGATAATTTTTAAAATAATTTGAATGTAATTGAAATTTTTTCAATATACTAATAATAACTTACATATTGTTTTATAAGCATAAAATCATGAGGCTCGAACCGGTTCAGAGACATTATAGCGGTTCGGTTCAGGTTCGGCTAGAATTTTTTAGCGGTTTAGGTTCGGTTCAGGTTCGATAAAAAATACCGGTTTTTAGCGGTTTAACGAGGTTCGGTTTGGATCCCTGAAATAATTTATATATCACAAAAATAAAATTTTAAAAAATCGAATATATTCCTTTGAAATTCTAATGTCTGTGTATATTAATAAAAGAGAATCAATCTTATTAATATGAAAATATTTCTTATTCTTGATAGACTGATTAGAATATATTTGGGTCTAGCTCCATTTTTACCCTTTTTAACCTATTCCTAAAGGTAGATAACCGAGTTTTTAGCCGAAAACTATCACCTCGACCCCGTGGTTTTCTTTGAAAATACCATTTTGAAGAAAGCCGGAAAAATTATTTTTTACTCTCATCTTAATGCTTGACAGATTTTTGTTTGGCAAGCGCATATAGACTGAACCAAAGCCAATTATTCATTCAAATTTTAAAAAATTAATTTTTCTCCTAAAATATAATCTAAATTTTTTTTTAAAGTGGCTAAATAAATAATATATTTTAGCCATCTTTACTTGAAAAAAATGGCACCTCTACTAATTAGCTATTTTCCGCTACTGATCGCTACACATTTACTTTAACAGCATTAGGACCATCGTTCGTCCCGTCTTGTGTGGAACAGTCTCTGAAATAGGATTTCATTTCGAGAATATCGAAATGCCCCTTTTCCTTGTAAGTCTTAATAATGTCGTTACGAGGTTGGAGGGGCACAATGCTCAACCCTGAAAACTTTGAGCTTCCTGAAAAAAATTGTTTTTTTTACATATAGTCCTTTTTGTTTTTGCTAGGTAGAATTGTGCTAATTTTAAATAGAACTTTCTTTTTTGTTCATTATTACCGTAATTTTTTAAGAAATGCGCCATAAGTTGATTATGTATTATATATAGATTTGATTTTATTATTTAAAAATTAATAAGACTATCTAAATTTTTATTAAATGTGTCAGCTTGTAATCGAATTCTGTGTTAAAAATGGATTATCAATATCACTCATAATGTCTAAATATCATTTAACATTAATAGTTGAAGCTTAATTGATTTTTATTATTTAAAATATTTAATAACCTTAATTAAATAAATATATTATTTATTAAATGAAAATTTACAAATAATATTTTAATTAGCCGAGTTAAAATCACTAATCAACTATATTATTCATTTTTAAATTTAATTACCATGCCTCTTCCAAAAAATATTTCCAAGGTGCAAACAAGTATAAGAAATTTCTTTATAAAAAGTAAAAAGACATATAGTTGATAATCCTCTATTCTATAGAATTCATTACAAAATTTTATGTAAAATGCCACTTTTACATACATATTTGACGGTTATAGAATATATTATAGTTAATATTTTAATAAACTTTATTAATCAATGCTTTTGATAATAAATATAAGTAATAATTTGTATTATATTCTTTACCGCCATCATTTATTTTTAATAAAAAAATTATTAAAAAGTAAACATTTTATTATTCATCCAACAATGGATGTAATCCTTATGAAATCTTTTTTTCCTTCACTTTTTTTTACTTGTTTTTAGGATAAATTTTTCTTCGTTAAAAAACAGTCTTGAGTTAAATTTTTAATATGAGGATATTATTATAAACTACTGTTATTTTAAGATATAATATACCAACTATAAGTGGTCCGACAATAATATATATAAGATCTTAATTGCTTTCATCATATCACTCTGGTCCTTATTTTCCAGTTAATAAATGATTCATTTCTAATATGGCATCCTTACCGTGTAAATAACTCAAGGCTTCAATATATTTGGATAATGTGTTTTTGTTTTATGAATTTATCTAACATAATAAATTCTGATATGAGTGTCATGACCATGGCTGCAATTTAACCAACGTATATTATTTGTGTGGTTATATAATTTAGGATGATTACTCATGTTGATTAGAGCATTTGATTGCATAATTTAGATAAGCAATAATGGTCAACTGTCTAGTCGTTTATTTATCATTAAAAATGAAAGATAATCTTTTAGAAATTTTATATTTCAATAATTTTCTCGATTACTTATTTAGCTTCCATAATATAGTTTTATGATTTGGATTAATATTCTCCTTTTCTATAATTATGATTTGGTTAGTCAATTTTTCCTCATTAGTCAATTCTATAAAAAATTGTCTAAAATGGTGACACAACATTATATTAATTTAATGATCTTTTGTCAATGTAGGTTGCTAAGAATTATGTTGTCTTGTGTGGTTTTTAAAAATCATTATCAATTGGGATTAACCTTTTTTATCACTTGTAGTCTTTAGACAAAAAATTTATATCGGCAATCGAAAATATTTAATATTGTAATAAATGGATGAATATTTTGTGTTAAAAAATTATCTTTTGGAATGTCTTGTATTGTATTACTCTTATTGCATAATAAATGACAAAAAAAGAAATTTAGAGTAATTGTTCAAAGTACGCAAATTTCAATTAAAAAAGTATAATATATCAGATAAAACTCGGTCGAAGGCTGGACAATAGCGGATCGAAGGCTCGCAAAATTGGGAGTATGGGGTTTTTAGTTTAGCCCCCTGAGATTGTAAAGGCTAGCGACACCCCTGCATTTTAGTGATTATGAAGTTAACCATTATCATTTTTATTAAACAATAGCATATTATATAATTCAGTTTTATTCAAAATAATTTGGTAATTTATTAGAATGCAAATGACTCCTATTTGATAGCTCAAAATTATAACTGAAATACTCGTTTACAAAATCCTAATGTATAATAAATACTTATCCCACAGAAATAATACCAAAGGTTTAGAAATATTTTATAAAAAATTGAATTTCCCAAAATTTTATCAGATATAAAACTGAAACGCTCAGAAACTAATCTTACCGAGCGGACTGGCTAGGCTGCGACCTCGAGGGTAATTTTTTCTAGCAGTCACATTTCATCCCCTATTTTGCGGGCCTTCGGGGTTATGTCCCTTTTAAGATGATTTCTTATATCTTTGGTAACATTATTACACCTTTGTGATTAAACTTATAATTACATGTTTAAGATGGGCTAATATTTTATTATATAAAGAAATGCGCATTTAAAATTACTGCACAATTAAAATCATGCATATTAGATATTTAAATATATATTTATCGCAATTGTGCATATAAAATATTACATTCCATATATGAAATTATATTAATGGCATATATAAAATTATTACATATTGCACTATAGATTCCACCGTTTGAGTCTAAAGAATCTTCGCGATTCAGACAATAGATCTATATTTATCTCTTCCCTATCTCCAATTTAATTTTACACGTTGGTCGTCATATAGCAATTTGCTAACAATTAGAACTACCATATTTGAATCGTTTCATATCTGTCTATTTTAAAATTATGGAAGAAGAAAATAGAATAATATGTTTATCTTCGTCTTCAGATGATTCTTCAACCGAAAATTATAACAATAAATTTAAACTAAGCATACTTAATGGCAAATTTTTTGAAGTACTTCAAGATGATCATAATAAAGAAATTCATCGTGACTTTAGTATAGACGAAAAAGTTATAGCAACTGTTACAGATAACGGCTCTAAC